AGACAGACAGACAGACAGACAGAGACCTAGAGAGCTGTAGCGAACACACCTCATTTCCAAGTAGCCAAAAACGGCACGTGTTTTCTGATACAATACTCTGCTTCATCCTGACACGTCTTGTTTGTGTTTTGGCAAGGGTCATGTATGTTTCATCGAGCATCCATGKGGGTCTGGGTAGGAAATCTTGTTCTCTACATGATGATTCCAGATTAAGTAAGGCAAGCTATCTTAGTGAATAAATCTACTAAAGAAAGAAAGAACGAACGAAAGAGGTTAAAACACATATACACCGTAATGCTTGACGATGATCCAATAATCACCTCATGAATAATCATAAGCATTTTAACCAATAAGCTCTCTGCAAAGTCACGTGAAAAACTTGCAGTATGCAGCATTGTGTATTGTAGAAGAAACCCTTTCCTTAACAAGCACAAATTAATTCATTCTTACCCCAGCACCTAAGAATAATGCAGAAAACATCTGTGAATCAAATCCGAAACTTGTGGACGGAAGAACTAATGAAAACAGTCTTGCAGTTGGTATTTCGCATTACTTAGACGGTTTGTTTAAGGGGGGGAGACACCCTCTTGGATCAGTAAACAAACCACATTGAAGACCCGGAGAAACCCTTTACAGTTTTAAAGCATTTGAAACATTCGACTAAATACTCTGCMTTGTTTTTAAAATTTTAAAACCAGGAGAAAGCTTTTGCTGACCAAATGCATCTTGCAGCTGGCTTGAACTCTACACAAGGAAACAAAAATAAAATCGATTAAGATATATATTTTTTACAATAAACTGATGTTTATTCATGACTAATTTTGGTTCTACTAATATGAGTTCAGTTGAACTGGAAGAACATGTCCACCCACTCATGCTCATGGCCCGGAATTTGTAGTAAGGAGCTTATCATGTACATTCACTGTAACTGTGATTGTCATTGAAACCACCTTATTAGCTGATACAGTRAAGATAGACGGTCAGTTTTAGTTTCGTTTCCCTTTCTTTCCTGAACGACACACCACGCTACTAACTGGACGTCTCGCTTGTCACCCGGCCCTTCTCTTCAGACTTGCCGTCAGATTTCATTGCTTGGAGCAGCCTCTCTTGCTCTTCTTAGTCTAAAACACACTATTTGCATGTAATGTCACTAATAATGGAATCTTCATTTTGTTTTGCTGTCTTTGTTGCTGCTGTTGTTCTGTATGCTCAGGTCAGTAAGCTGGTCCATCACTAAAGTGTACGTTACTCTTCACTGCATACGGTATATRAAGTCTATTGTGGTGCAATACTAGATTGACGCAACACTGTCTACAGATRTAACGATGAATGTGCTGCTCTATATACCAAGTGTTTTTTTTTTTGGGAGCCTTGTCTAAACTCTGACACACCCTTCGGACCATGACACACACAACGTGGAATGTAAAGGGGCGAGGGGTGAATGGACATCTTTCTTCAGTTACAAGCATTACCTCTGTGTTTACTATATTGGTGTGATTCGTGCAGCATACAAGTGACATTATCAGTAATTCAGTTGAGCATGATCTAAGGTTAGGTAGATGTGGCAGGTTCTTGTTTTGACTATTACATGGTGTAGGGAGTTTGGTTGGTTTCGACTTTTTCTTAACAAGATCATTTCGAAATCTAAAAAAAAGAGAGAAAATAAGAACAGTTAGTTAAAATATACTTATAAAAAGAGTAATTCTCAATTTGACTGAGTATATTTCATATTATTATTTATTTTTATCTGTAGTTATTTATATCTTTGTTTATAGTTTAGTTTTATTTATTTATAGAAATAAATATCAATGATGCCGTTATCAAAGCATTTCAAAAGACCAAGAACCATKACAGTTCAATACAGTAACATGGTGTTTGACAAAACATATAAACCATATAGAAATATACCATGTAGTATATGTCAGAATAATAGTGTTTGTCACTGGGCCAGCGTTGATTGCTTAGCAATACCGAATGCCTGGCTGGAAGATTTGATTACATAATTAGTTAAGATTATATTTTTGAGTCGTGTGCATCTAGAACATTGAGTGTACAATAGTATTGTGTTAGTAAAAAGTGTCCCCAGTTAGGAAGACTAGCTACACACTTTAATAAAGATACTTTGGGGTTTGTTTATTTTATTCATTTATTTCATATTAAAAAAGTAGTGACAGTCAATAAGTCATGTACAGTATTCAAGTAGCATGCTCGTCTAGTTTTCCAGGAAAGAAGCTGGAACATTCCAGGTATTTACTGGAAATTGTTTAAATGCTTTGTAACAAATTGTGGTCTCTTTTTCTTTAGATGAGCCTAGCACTGGCTGGTGGTCTATCACTTTCAGATTGTGAGGATTACCAATATACAATCAATAATGGCAATCAATGCTTCGACTGTCCCGCATGTCCCGCGGGACAAGAGTACACCCTGCACTGTGGATATATAGAGAAAAATGGAAACATAACAAGACCAAAAGATAACAAAGAATGTGAAGACTGCCCTTCTCATCATTACAAAAGCAGTAAATCTCAAAACATGTGTGACGAATGCAAGAGGAAATGTCCAAAAGGAAAAAAAATGATTCACCCGTGTAACAAGACACATGACATGAAATGCACCAAGTGTCCAAAGGGGTGAGTACGGGCTACGATAGTATAAAGCATGCAAAGTGATATTAACACATGACATGAAATGCACCAAGTGTCCAAAGGGGTGAGTAGAACTTTTCTCATTCATCAATTATTGTTTTGCTGCCTAATTATGTTGCCAGCCATTCAATATATTATGTATTCATTAGGTTTTACACAGTTGCTGATGGTAGCTGTATTCGATGTTCTTTTTGCTGTGGTGGAACGAGATCTGCAATATTCGTGGAAAAAGAATGTAAAGATGCAGGAATGGGGCAGTGCTCTTGTAGACCTTTAAGGAACTGTGTCGACAACAGTGGAGCTTGTACAAGATCATCAATTCTTTCGRCAACCACAGCCACAATTACAACAGGAAACCAACGAAAACAGCCAAGTGGAAAAAAGTCCCAACATTCAAAACCAAATCAAAGACTGCCAGGGGCCGAGAACAATAAACAAGATTGCAGGAATAAGGCTATTTTGCGACAGCTTCGTAAGCTATTATCGAAATACAAGCGAAGAGTTATAATTAAAGTAAGAAAGTACTGTACTTGATACTGATAGCTCTATCGAAATACATCATAAATATTAGGTAGCAGTGCAAGGCATTGTGGGTACTAATGCAAGGCATTTTGAATAGCAGTGCCAGGCATCTGGATAGCTGCGAGGTATTGTCCCGGGGGGGGAGGGGGGAGGTACTCTTGCCCGTTTAGGGTAGGGATGTGCCGCTGAGCCCTCTGAACTCTGACCCTGTTCCGGAGTAAAARTCGCTGAAATTCACACCCTGTTCTAGAGCAAGATTGCTGAAAACCCTGTTCCAGAGAGGAGAGAGCGTAATTTCATATACCCTGTTCCATAGCGATCGCATTTTATATACCCTGTTCCAGAGTAGAATCGCTGAAAATCATACCCTGTTTGGCGGCACGTACCCRTATAGCGAATATAGGGGAGTAATCCCCCCGGGGTATTGTGAAAACCAGTGCAAGGGGGTATCAAGTTATTYATAGTCATTTTAAATACTGTTGACGTAATCTCATTGTATGTAAATCAACAGATATCAGTTACATTGAAGGACAGCAAGCAACGTAAAGCAAGGAGAAAAGTAAAACCTTTAAATAAAAATAGACCTAAGCTTGTTTCAAATCCTAATAGTAATTTAGAGCAAATAATAACACTTTTTGTTTTTACGCAGGGACGTGACCTTTCAACTTTCAAACAAGCAGGATTGATGTCACATGACTAACGCCAACATTTGGAACGAGAGAGCTACTAACTTAACAGAAGAATATTAATGATATGGATCTAACTAAAGATAAACATTTCAATTTTTCAAACAAAGAGGATTGGTATCGCTTGACCAACGCTAACATTGTGAACGAAAGATCTAAAATAGGAGAATTTGAWTGATTTGGAAAAGATACACGAACTTTTAGCCTATATTCTATTGTAACTTAAAAGTAATATTTTCGTTTTCAGAAAGTGTTAATAATGTTAAAATGTACTTAATAAAATYTAATCCGGCTTCAGTTCTCAAGGATGCTTTTTAGTCGTCTTTATGGTATTTCTAAAYCTAAGAAAGCAAGGCTCAATCAGTAATGCAATTTAAACAACRAAAAAGTAAAGCAATGAAGACGGAACAACTTTGCATACGAGCTAGACATGAAGATGATGAGAAAATATATCTTGCAGACAAATAAAGACTGATTCAAGTAATAATAACAAGTTMTAAGATACAATGGACAGACAGGATATTGCTGATATTAGTCCTTTCACGAGTTTCACATGGCAATAATTGCAGATGATTAGTACTATTGCAMCAAGCACAAACTGACCAGTGTCACTATTRCAGCCTTTGCTGCTATAAGAACACAACTAACTCTAGATCATWGTGGTGGTGGTGGTGGTGTTAGAAGTACATRTGAATTCTTCGTTTTCTATTGTGTTAAATTACTAAATACCTAAATGAATAGCAAAATAATAACGACTTGACTGAACACCGCAATCATAGCTGTAATAGTTGCATRGTATCTGTTACGGTGCATGGAGCTTCCTTRTCAATCATACGGGTCAGTAAGAATGGCATTGCTTATAAAGCATACTCGTAAACTGGCATCAAAAACTCACTCATARTTAGTATGCATCACTTGCTGCAAGGACAATAAGGCRCCAGTTGCTGGTAACAAGCACATTAATGTGGTTCTTTGAACATCTAGCCGGTACATCAATTAAAAAGATACAAGATGGACACACAGTTTGAAACTATAAAATGTTACTATTGCATGTTAAGCTATTTTATTCTTATAACCATGTAACACTCAAAAGGAAGATAAATCTGATTTTTCTGCAGTTCAACTTATTTAAAGCAGGCTGTAGACTCGTTTAAGATGTGTTCCAGCGACTGCTGGCCTTTTGACCTAGACGATACATTTAAAACAACTTTATGGAACAACACAGGATACATTTGTATAGTGCAGCTGTTGTGTGAAGATGAAATCATTCAGGATATGGAACACCTCGTTTCCTAGAACACCTCTTTTTCTCTTTTCCTTTTTTAGTTCTTTCAAAATAGAAGTATTCAGATGACTCGATCAGCGTTTGTGATAAAAAAGCCGTTACCGTTTCATCGTTAGTTCCGTAATATTCCATGACATGACTCATGTTGCATTTCTTGCATCAATTATTCACGTTCTATTTCAAGCTCTTCTACGTCACGAACGTGGCCGTGAAGTCTCTCGTCGAATACATCAAACTTCATTCAAAAATGTGTGTATTCTCATACAAAGTATTTATTTTACCTTGCCAAATGTATTTCAGTGAACTGTAATGGAACGAAAAAGTTTAATTTCGTGGAAGATGTAACCAAACATTGAATTTTGACGAAGTCTGACAGCGCTCTGTAAGGGTCGTGAAACGATCGAATAATCCACCAAWCCGGACAAGGAATGAAAGGAACTGGAGCGTGGAAATTGCATCTTGTGCCATTAACACTAAAAAACCCTTGGTTTTCCTTTAAAACCTTTTTTAAGTCCTCCAAGAGAGGCAAATTAGAAACGAAAGTATTCTCGCTGTACATTAGATAATTTTTAAAAGTTGGATTCAATTTTCAAGGAGCTAATCAGAAGAAGATGACATTCATCCATTCCAAAACGTGACGTCCTAAAACTCCTGGATTCAGATTTTCCGATTGAGGACTTCGAAACAGGAAGTTGACAGTGATCCATTCAGAAGACGAATCGAAAATAGATTATTGACCGCCCAGTTTCGCTTCCTCATTCAAAATATATTCCAAAGAATAATTCGTGCAACGCTTGATGGTTGGCGCTTGCTTCTCGCGAATTCGAAGTCACAAACATTTTCTGTCTGTCTATCGAGTGCTGTCTTGGCCCGTTTTTATGATTCATATCGTAATGCTGTATATTTGGGTTGCAGTGTTCATTTTTATAGGGTTTTCCCTACAGGTAAGTCTCAAAGTATCTTGAATTATTAACACTTGTGAGATTTTTTCATTYATTGATTACCTGTAGTAACTTGTCAGGCTCGATAGTACAATCCGAATTAAACTTGTAAGCAGAAAAATACTTTTTTCATGTCTTTTAAAAACTGTGCAATGTCTTCTTTTTTTTATGCTCACTTCACCAAGCATTTGAATTTCTACCCGTCAGAACACAGTTTAAGGAGAAAGTTGTCTTGCGTACTACAAGTACGTTTATGTTTTATTAGTTTTATGCGGGATTTTATGATGGAAATGAGAAAATTCGTAAGCTGCTCGTCTTCGTTTTACCTGATGCAGGCTGTTAATCGGTGTGTGAAAACGAAACATTCGCAAGTCCAAGTTCATCAAATCAATTAATATCTTACTATCTCACTTTCCAAAACACTAAAGATTCTTGTTCCACTGATCGACCTTCACACTTTTGTTTCCAAAATGGAACAACTTTCCATTGATTTTTTAATGTTTTTTTTTACCAGTGCTAGTTTTAATCATTATTTAAAAGATGTCCTCGTTTCAACCCTCTTCCAGACCTGTTGCTCTTTGAAGGGCTATTATGACTAATCTTTGAGGGTTTATTATTATTATTTCTTTACTAAATTCATAATATTTCAAGGCTTAACACAAACATGCCTCGAAAGGGCTGTGTTTTACTGTGTTTGTTTTTACCACTAATCAGAAGTGGAATGGGATTCCAGCGCGTGTATTGATGATGCTGGTTTGTCGACGGTCGGCTCAATATCAGATTACCATAAAATACCTACGATAGAATATCTAACCAATCTGTTTGTATCTTAGAGAAGCATACTGTATACATATGATTGTGATACTGAGGGTGATTTGATGAAGACATCTTTTTGATCATATTACGGGGTTTTTCGTTCACGAAATTGTCGTTTAAAGTTTTAATTACCAGGCAAAACGTTACAACATCCGGAAGCAAGTTGTCATTCAATCTAGAGTAGCAATATGTATGAAGTAGCGTGGGTCAAACAAGGTTAAATCCATTCAATAGATAAAAGAGATCTGTTCTTGCACGTTAACACTCTAACCGTTTTACACTCTTGTACTCAATGACCTGAGGTTTTTTTTACGTATTTTCTACTATTGTCTTTTTTGTTGACATGTCATGAAATCAAAGCTTCACTCGAAAGTAAGACCTTAGAATGCCCTTATTTGGCTGAAGTAAAAAAACAAAGGTTTGGTACACAATCCTAGGTTWCTTGGACCTTAGAAGTAATTGTCTTTGACAATAGTATTTGAAGAATGTAAACGGCCTGGGCCACTGTATTTTGTAATCTCCTTTCCCTTTTTGATGTTTAATTGCTGCAGCATTGGCATTGGAATTGCTTGACAGTCCCAGCAAGGCGTAAGTTCAGTCCAGTTGCTTTCTGTCAGAAAACAGTTAACTATCTTTTGGAGTGAAAGATTAGGCATAATTAAAGTGCCTTCAGATATAGTGTATTGGGCTTACTGTCCGGCTGACTTGGGGTCAATTTGGATCAGTACGACAACAGTCACAAGGACTAAGGCTGAGATTCGGTATTGGAAGATGTCACAGAAGTAGTTCGAGCTAGGCTCACTCGGCTCTTTTGTACAGATAATTCCTGGTAACTGCTAATGCAAACTGATTATTAAAAACTAGCTTATTGTCATGCTGGTCACGTTTTAACGATGTGTTGATTTTTCCCCAGACAGACTTAGTACTGGCTGGTGGTATATCACTTTCAGATTGTGAGGAT